TTTATAAAGCCAAGGATTAATAGGAGACAGACAGAAACATAGAACTGAGTCATCAAGTTCTGTCCTCCACTCCTGAAGGCAGCCATATCATAATATCCTGCTTATATATGCATTAAAATGGCTTAGGAATTTTGCCATTCTTCTTTCTCAAGCCTGCCTTTGAAACTGACTCCTTTGGAGAAACTCTGATTTAACTAGCCTAAACTTACCTTTGGCAACTTCTGATCAAGAGCTCTTTTGCCAGCATTGCCCCAAATGCTGCTTCTCTTTCTCTCTGTCTCTCTTGCTCTCTAGTATGTCTGCAGGGAAATCATATTTCAGCTTGATCTTTTTTCTTCTGGATGGAACAAAGAAAGGATTTTTAGGTTCTTCATTTACCACATCTAGTTGCCCTTTTCTGCATCTATTCCATCAGGAGTTCAGAATTCCTGAACAGAGGTGTACATGTTACAGTATCTATGTTACAGATATGGTCCCACACATGGGCCTGTGCAGCTACTGTCTCTCTGAAAATATGTTGTCTTACTTCTTGACTCACATTTGCCTCTTTTACAGATATTTTTTTTTTAAGTGTACTCTTTACTAATGATTAATCTTAATATGATCTATCCTATGACATCCCATCTTTTTTTCTTCCAGAATTTTTTCCAATTTCAGTGACTCAGACTTTGAGCAGAAATATCTGTCACTAGCCTCTGTGAAAATAATTTTCTATACAAGTGCCTTTTCCATCTTATACCATCTTTATAAGATGTGGATGAGCTGGCCTTGAGGCTAGTGGGGAAAACTGGAACATCTTTCATTTTCCTCTCTCGGAGTATTCACTCAGGCTATGCCTAGCCTAAAGCAGTTGGTCTCCCTAAAGCCACTTCTTCAGGCAATGGAGAGGAACAGAGATGACTGCAAACATATGGATTAAGTCTACTCTAAGTCACCATCTGGAGAAGCCAGATGGGATCCGGATGGGAGGTACCAGATAAAGACACCCTAGGAGATTGGCTCCTATCAGCCGATGTTAGTTTCTTTAGATATCTTTCCAGTCACATCTTTGGAAGATCTCATTATATCTGCATTCTTCTTTAGCACGTACATCAAAATGTTAGATCTCAAAAAAAAAAAAAAAAAAGGTCCCAAACCCAAAACCTACTTAACAGATTGTGTTACCAATACTGAAGCTAACCTTATTTGAATCTATTATATGCCCTAGTTATCACCATACACTTGTTTAACTGATATTCTCCTGACAATCATTTCCAAGGCCTGCCTAATAACTTCCAGTTGTGGTACCTTCCCACATATGGGTTTTTTTCAGAATGAAGGATATCCTTTTGCTTGAATTAGTGAAGTGTCTCAGTAGACAGGTGTAACCTGGCAGTTCTTTGTTATTTATGATGGTGATGGTGCACAAATGATGATATTAGAGATTCCAGTGACTTCATCTTTTTCCCTTGATTGAATGAAAAGTATGTTATTGTTGCATATATATGTAAAATATTGTAACTGGTATTTGGCTGAAATATTTTGGTGCCATGTGCCAGGAAGCGTGGTTTGTGGTGCCGTGTGGGTTGCAACAGCCCTGGGGTTCTGCTCAGCTTCTACCACGCTGCATTTCCATGATGAAAAGGAAATTAGTGAACTTTTGGAAACTTGTTGAAAAGAATGTCTGTTGTTTGTCATAAGAGCACAAACTACAACAAAGGCTGAGCAAGGTCTGCAGTGCAGTGTTACTGCAGAAGTAATGGGCAGGGCCCATCAACAGTGGTACCCGGACCATATGAGGGACGGCTGGTGGCTTACAAATACTTTCCCCTTCTCTTGCATGTAGATTTAATTCTAGCTTAGCTTGCCAGTAGCCACAAATTGCATGGGAGTGCTATATGGATGCCACAGCACAATTGTCCATGCTTTTTTATTCCAGGTGGGATGAAAAACACTGTTCCAATATGAGCATGGTGCAAGAGTCATGGGGATTTTCCCTCTGGCAAATGCACTGTGATTAGGTGCTTTCTAATAAAGAAGTCTAAAATAGGTTTGTAGAGATCTCAAGATTTTGTATTTCCATTGATAATGAGGCACTTTGATGGAGGTTGACCAGCTCAGCTATGGAAGTGTGCATTGTGGACATCTGTACTAAAGCTGTGCAGGGAAATCTATCCCACATGTTTCTGCTGTGGATGACAGAGAGAGAGCAGGGTGGATGAGCCTCTGAAGCAACCATCGACCAGGATGAACCTATCCTCTAGGACAGAAAGCTGACCTGAGCTTTTACCGAAGGGAGGCCTCTTTGATAATATCCACAAAATTAAAAAGGAAGCGAAAACAACAGTCATGACAGCAACAGAAAAAAATCAGCTAGTGCCTGTACCATAGCGAACACGTTCTACAGGGATCACATTGGCTACAGTTCTGAGATTGCATTTGGGTAACAGGATGATGCTCTAAAACCTACAAATTTCTTGCCTGTTTATCTTCCTCTCATCTTTATAAAACTGTTTCTTGGCTGTGAGGTCATGTATTTTGACTTTTTCCAAAGCAGGCTTTTTAAAAGGGAGAAATCAATGTTTTCTTCAATTATTTAAAGAGAAATGTGTTTCCTTTTCCTAACTTACCCCAGATTTGTTAGTGGTGTTTAAATACAGAAACATCCATTTTGGAAATGGCCTTGGGAGGTCCTTAGTCCAATGTCCTGCTCAGGGCAGATTTAGTGCTGAATTCAGACCACATTGTTCAGGACTTTGTCCAGTTGGGTCTTGAAAACCTTCCAGGAAAAGGTTTCCATTACTTCTCTCACTAACCTAATTAAATGTTAAATTATCTTCAGAGATTCTTTTTCTTTTGTCCTTGAATCCAGACAGAACCTTCCCTGCTCCAGTTTACAGTTTCTTCCCACAATTAAAATCTTGCCTCTTTCTTCCAACCCCTCAACAATTTCTGTTAGGTTCTTCCTAACACATCCCTTGCCTGGGCTAATCAAGCCCAAATCCTCTTGGTTTTCCTTATGGGCCAGTTGCTTCAGCTCCTGACTTTCGGCAGAATCTTTCTACGTACCCTTGACAAAGTTTATCTTCATCTTTCATGTAGTTAGTTGGTGATACAAAACTGGATACAGGTTTACATATGCTATCTAATAAATACCATGTGAAGGGGAATAAGCAGTAGTAGGATTCTTATTAATTCAGTCCAGGATGCTGTTGGCCTTTTTTTTTCCTGCCATAGCACACTGCTGGGTCATGTAGAGCACATTGCCAAGCAAGACCCCAGTCTTTTTACCAGAGCTGCTATTAAAGCTGCTCAGCCTCCAGACTACCCCACTGCAGTGTGTTAGCTCATCCCAGGTTTAGCAGTTTGCATTTTTTTTGTTTTTGAATGTCATGAAATTCCACAAATACACATTAAATTAGACTCAGAACAAAGCATATCTAGTTTCCCACCCCACAACAACCAGCAGAAATGCTCAGAGTGGAAAAGCAGAAATGGTTACAATAGGACAACCACAGAATAAAACTATCCAATTAAAACCAGGCAGGGACCTAGAGGCAAACTCTCAGTTTGATTTAGCAGTTCACAATTAAAGATTTAAAGCTCAAGTCGGTAACATTACACCCACAAACATTCTTTTTTCACAACCATGCCCTAAAGGTATGAAAAGTTCTTGGGAATGAGAAGAACCAAACTGTTTTTCTGTTTTGTCCATGGCATAATCTGTAAGCAACCCTTAAAACTACCTATGATATTCTCATGTTTCTCATATGGAAAATGAGTTTGTGAATTAATAAATCAATCACTGTATATATATATATTCATATGAATATATCTCAGAATTTATCCCAGAGGTAAATCTCAAAAGCATTTTAATATGACAACGAACACAAAAACCTGGAAAAAATCCCCTCAACAGGCATAATGGAAGCCAGTAAACTAACTGTACTGAGAGAAATGCTACTGCAAATGTAAAATGTAGCTATTAAAAAGAAAAAAAAAAAAAAAAGGAATTTTATGTAGAATTAGTCAGCTCAGATTACTGCAAATACCCAGTTGGCATGTTTTTGCAGATACTGGTCTCCCATGGCATCATTTTTTCATCCAGTCCACTACTGTCTGGTAGTAGATTTTGCTTTTTATGAAAATACAGCACATAATGTCTTAGGTAAGCTTTGTGCCCGAATTTTATTTATTTATCTGTGAAATAGGGACAATAATGTAACTTGATCTGTTTCTTAATCATTACACACAGCAAATAATGAGTATTTTCAAAACCACTGAGAAATTACATAAAGGAAAAATAAACAGGGGAACATTTGGACAAAGCTATTGCATGAGGTAAAGAGCAGAAGAAATTGTGGAAGATCTTGAAGAGAACAAAAATACCAAAAATTTGAGATTGCTGCAAGGGTGCCAATACCCTGCTGATAAACTGGTTGTCACAGAAACTCCTAAATAATTCAGAAAACAAACTCACAGTACCTAAATAGTGTTGAAATAACACAACTGCCCCATGAAGAGCAGCCGAGGGAGCCAGGGCTGCTGAGCCTGGAGGAAAGGAGGCTCAGGGGGACCTTATTGCTCTCTACAACTGCCTGAAAGGAGGTTGGAGCCAGGTGGGGGTCATTCTCTTTTCCCAGGCAGCCAATGACAGAACGAGAGGATGCAGCCTCAAGCTGTGCCAGGGGCAGATGAGGCTAGATATTAGAAAAAAAATTCTTCACAGAAAGAGTGGTTCAGCATTGGAATGGGCTGCCCAGGGATGTGGTTGAGTCACTGTCCCTGGAGGTGTTTAAAAAAAGACTTGATGAAGCACTCAGTGCCATAATTTAGTTGGTAAGTTGATTTTAGGTCACAGGTTGGACTCAAAGATCTCAAAGGGCTTTTCCAACCTAGTTTATACTGTGATTCTCTAATTTCTCTGTTCTGGAGGTATGAATAATAATATTTCTTCCCCAAGTGCAGTCATTAATTCCAAAAAAGATTGTTTAGATTAACATAACTCAGGTTAACCAAGCCATCTCTCCATGCCTATCCAAAATGAACACAAGAGAAGTCTGGAATGTAAAAAGGTTCCAAGTGTTCTTTATGCTCCCCAGTCACATTATTCATGCACAACACTCCCAACTCAGAAGTGCCTGCAAGACCACAACACCAAAACACAGCGCCAGGTTCCTGTTCCCCAGTCTCTACCCATGTCCTCTTTCTTTCAGTATGAGTTTCATCCTGCACGAGTGAGGTCACCTGTGCTGTGGAGGAGGCCATGAGCTGGTGATTGATGAAGTACACACACTTCTGGCATGTTCACCATCACATGACACTGTAGGAATAACCCAGACCAGGAGAGGCTGGTGGGTTGAGGGAAGCACGGATGGTGCAGTCAATTGCACAACAGGCGAAGATTAGGCTCTGCATTTCCTTTGTCTCTGGGCAGGACTTCTTTTGTTCTCAATCTGAAAGGATTACTGCATAAGATGGTATCTTTTATAGCCATGAACGCAGACATGTGAACCTCTTCTGTGATTATCACTGAAGAAAGGTGCCTACCTCCTCTGCTTACTGTTATATAATTTGCATCCGTGAAGAAATGATTGAGAATGTCACTTTCAAAATTACTTTTTTTCCTGCATCTTCTCCATAACATTTTAAAATGCGTGAACATCTTGATAATGCTTCATCTTTTCTACGTTAAAAGTAAAGATCCAAGGTAGGTTACTTATGACCAGCTTCTTATCCCTGACATCTGGAAATACTTCTTGAATCTCTGTCCTTGTGACTTTCATATTTTGCTTTCCAAGGAATTGATTAAATCTTTCAATATTCATGTCACATTTTACCAGCTAACCAATATTTTATCAGTTCTGTGGGTATATCATTGTGTAATATTGGCTTGAATAATTTCCCCTATGTTTGCCTGAGCTATCCTTTCTGTGACTCTGTGGTTATACTTCTTCGTTATGCTCATGATAAGTCTCAGGAACTGCATTTTTCACTGCCTTTGAACTATCACTTTCATAAATTATTTTGGAAATACCCATTTATATGTTATGGTCACAGTATTTATGGTATGTTTATGCCCCTGGGAAACTGTAATACATTCATAATATTGTGTGTCATGATGATAGTATCCATCAGTTCCAGTTATAATTTTGTTTCACAGTCAGTGTTATGACCATAAGAGCTTTCACTGAACAGTTCTGACACAGATGTAAAGTCCATGGGAGTTTTTATGGCACATTATGTTGTAGTTCATTTTCAGAGAAACTCCTGGAAAGTTGAAAAATACAGCAGTAATATTTTCACTATTACTGTTTATTATAACAGATGAACTGTAATAGTAGATTTCCATGTGAAATGTTAAAATAGTTTAATTTGTCCCTCATTGTGTGAAAACTTCATCCTGAATGATTGCTTTGTATTTTCATGATCAATGGCTGTGATAAAAACAATTGTCTAAATACAAACAGTATAAAACTATGAGCTTCTAGCATACAATGCTGGTAAGGAACCATATGAGAAAAAGAGAAATCACTTGAATTAATGAGATGGAGATTAACTGACAAAGTATTTTTCAGAAAACCCTGAAAAAGAGTGCTGCCTGGAAGTTCTGTGTGCAGTCAGTTCTGCCTCACCCCAGATAGAAGTACACTTCCTACTACAAAAAGTTAACTTGTTTGAAGCTTTTTATAACTAGCTTTGCTTCATTTTTCTTTGGTTCAGAGAACAGGATGTACAAGAGAAGTCTTGCAAACCACTACCTGTATCAAGCAAACTGCATTTACCACAAGGTGCCCTAATTTTTTTTTAGCGATGAATCAAGTATAGGTATGTCTAAAAATGTCTAGACAGGACTTCTTTTCAGAACTATGGCAGTATTTTGATGCAAAAAGCAACATTTTTCATGGGTCAAAAAAAAATTCTTGTTATGAGAGAAGGAAGGATTATTTTAATTTTTAATAAAAGGATTTAAAGTTTGGGTTGATTTGTTAATACCATTGGTTACTGTCAGTTCTCCCACATGCTTCCACAGGTGGAGGAGATCCCTGGTACTGCTGTAGGTTTAGGTAATTGTGTGACTGAATGGGCAGTTTTAAGGGAACTTACAGAAGGAAGTCTGTACCTGCTCCTGTGGGGCCGATTTCAGCTTTACAGAAACACCTTACATTTAGGCAGGGTGAGAAAGAGATTTTGGAAACAGGCAATGAAGAGTTCTGCTTGTGGGGTTATTCAGCTAATGAGAAGTCCCCTGTGGGTCTACAGGGAATATACTTTTGAGTAAGCAGGAGAGCCTTTGTTCATGGATGCCCCCAGTTAGAGACTACAGGCAGGAAAAGGAGCCTTCCTTTCTTTGTAGCCTCCTCACCAGCAAGCTCTACAGCCAGGCTGTGTTATCCCAGTTTTTTCAGGAGTTTATTAATGAGCTAATAGCAGTTAAGTAAATCAAATCCATGTCTGCCTGGCAGATTTGGCTTATATGGTGTACCTCAGCAAGATTTCCTAGCTCTACCACACTGGTGTCTCATGTTTCTAATGTGTTGCATGGTTTCCAGACCCTTCTGACTCCAAGAATGAGCTTTTTAGATTGAAAGGAAAGAAACTGAAAAATTAAAAGTACATATATATGGTCATCTACAAGGCTTGTTGCTTACATTTTCTTTAAGTTCTTAGCTAAATCACAGAAAACAACAATCTCATCCTAAATTCTTCTTTGTCCTTGAGACTTCACTGAATTTAGAAGGTGCTGCCTTTGGCCATGAAGAATTCATATCTATTAATCCTTCCTTGACTCAGCTGGGAACGTTGGCACGGTGTAACTGCAGGTCCATGGAGCTCTAGCCACAGTGATACATATCAAATGAAAAGAAACTGTCAAGTAGAGGGATATTCTTATCAAGATTTCCACACTCTCAGTGGTAGCCTATGTATCTGAAGTAATTCTCACAAAGAAATGCTCTTTTATGCAGGCAGTCTGGTTTTTCCTGCCTTCTGAGTCTTTACCCATACAGAAAATTTCAATAATCATGAAGTCTGCCTCTTGACGTGTAATGTGACCCAAGCAGCTGCCCTTTAAGTATGAAGTTGTGATTGAAAAGGCATCTTCTTGAAACAAGTAATTGAAACTATATGGCCTCATTCTTGACATTTGTGGTAGCATACTGGATTTTCATAGGAAAGATGAAGGGATGACAGGAAACATTTTCACATGTGGTTATGGAACTCTAAAGGCATTTAGAGAAAAACAGTTCATAGGGTTCTTGCATATGGAAAACAAACATTTTTTTCACATACTTCTCTATGCACAGAAAGTATAATCATCTTGCATCTTTTTTTAAGATATATGGCAGTATTCAGGAACGTAACACTACAGTGTTGAATAAATGTAGACATTTCCAGTATATACTGGGATGTTACCTGTATAACCCTTTCAGTGTCAAGATCTGTCTTGAGCTCAGAAACCTGATTTACCTTGAAAAGTGACAAACACCGTGTGCCAGTCAGTAAGTCCATGTCAGTTTGGATGGAGAGCTATTTTTCCTCACATAAAATAAAGGATTGTTACAGGAGGGCAAAAGAGGAGACAGCAGGAACAGAATAATTTATGCAGGTCACAGCTTCCAAGAGGAGCAGTGCAGCTGTCATTAAGTACAGTCACTTCTGACCTTCTAAAGTGATTGCCAGGTAGCCAGTTCTAATTTGGTTTACTGTGGTGAAGGTGTGAGGCGTTAACTCCTATCTTAGCTCTTGCAGTGAAAACTACTCAGCTAACTGGATTTATAAATGCAACTCAGAACAGAGACATATTGAGTGTGATAAAAATGTTGAGGATCTGTCCTGCTTTCTGTGGGTATAATGTCTTCAGATGCTGCAGATCACCAGAGCTTCCCAACTCTCAGCTCTGTTCATGAACCCTGTCATTAAACAGAGATCTCAGCAAATGTATTTGGCCAATATGCATCAGTAGTTAGCAAAACAAATAGGATGTTTGAATGTAGTAAATTATGGCTATGAATTAACAGAGAAAGTGTTATGGACTCAAATAACATGAATTCATGTGCTGACATGCAGTAAATCTCTTCTCAAGGCTTGAAGACTTTGCTAATTAAAGTACATTTGGAGGGGAAGAAAAGAAAGACATTCTTACTCCAGATTTTAGTAATGCTAAACACAAGGCTGAAGGCTGTTCTTTAGGGGATGGCCAGATAGTGTGAAATACATGCAACACTTTATAAGAGTTGAAAGGAAAGTGAAAAATAATGACATTAATGCATTTTTGGAGATGACTTTTTAGTGCTTTAGCTTACATTGTGTTAACCTTTTGTGGCTGGCAAAGACTGAGAAGAGATTTATGTATGAAACATCTTGAATAAAGGAACTCATGTTTTAGCTGGAGCTTTGAGACAGCCATGCAGTGCGACTGATAACCAGTACCAACAGAAAAAGTTCAGTTGTGGTGGGTGGACCATGGCCAGCAGCCAGACACCCTCCCGCTCACTGCTGCTCACTCACTTCCTCTTCTTAACAGTACAGGGGGAGAAAATAGAATTAAAATTCTTGTTGAGGTATATCACTTCCAGCTGACATCCAGCTAACATCCCAGGCAAAACAGACCTTACTTGGAAAAAATGAATTTATTTCCAATGAGAATGTATTTATATAATGAAAAGCAAAACCAAAAAACAAATCAGTATTTTCCTCCCTACTTGCCCATTTTCCCCCAGACTTACTTCACTCCTTCATTTCTACCTCCTATACCTCCCCTTCACCCCAAGAAGTACAGGGAGGATGGGCAATGGGAATTTGTGGACAGTCCAGAAGATTTCCTCTCTGCTGCTCCCCTTTCTGCTGCTTCTTACTCCTTACAATTTTCTCACTCCTCCAGCACTGCTCCTTTCTGTGGGCTGCAGTGCTTCAGATAAATCACCTTTTGCATGGCCCCACCACAGAATGCTGTTCCTTCAGAAAATATCCTCTGACTTTGGAACTGAGTGCTCCATGGTTTGCAGTGTGGACACCAAATAAAACAATCCTCTACTTCTAAATAAGAGCATGTCTAAAAGCACATAGATAATTGTCACCACTGGACCTGTCTGAACACATTTAGGAAACCAGGAGTTTAACATTTCTGCAAATGTGTTTCAGTTCTTAAAGATAGGTCAGTTTTGTGTATGTGGTGCCTCCCATTGAAGAACAAAATTACAGAGAGGCTCAGCAAGGTGATCCTACAGTATTCCAATGTTTTTCACAAAATTGAATACAGACAAGGGAAGAATGATGAAGGGGAATTCTTCAGGCTGTTGTGGGTGACCATGTGTGGTCCCTATATATGTGTAGCTGACCAAGGAACAGCTGATGCTTTCTCCTTCTGCTCAAATGTAATATTTGTTTCAGATCTAGCAATCCTGCCAACATATTTGTAGTATCTCTTAGGTTTTTTAGACTTCATGTAGCATGATTTCTGCGCTTCTGTAACCCACTCATGTGCAACATCAAAAAAAGCAATGGAGAGAGGAGTTACTTACTGGGACAATGAGAAAAGTAAGAACTGGCTAAGCTCACTTCCTCTAGGATCATTTATCCCCTACTTCTGGTAGGCATCCAGGTTTCCAGGCAGGCCTCTGATCTGATCACTGTATTACTTTCCAGCACCCACCTCTACTTTATGTCATTTCATGTGTTTGTTTTCCAGTAAAAAATGAAGAAGTGAAA